TTATCTTGCATGAAGTGAAATTGCGGATGAAATCTAATTCTTAACTATTTCTTTCTAAACTTCTATCTTAATTGTCTCTGTTTCATCTCTTGAATTCAATTTTATTAATCTTTTGCTGCAATTTACATTTGAAAATACACTTTTATTATTTGATTTTTTGAACTTTCACTTTTTATTATGCATTTTTAGGTTTTATTACAAAATTTCACCTTTGTTTACATTAGCATGCTATAAGTTTCATTATCTATCACAATTTCTATTATCTCAGTTTTGAGTCACACCTTTATAGCAGAAAATTTCATAATTATGCATTTAGATTCTATGTTAATTAAGGTTTGTACATATTTCTAAACAAAGAATATAATTCTTGTTGGAATAACGAATTTTATACTCATTAAAATAATTAGTACACTTATCAAGCTTTATTTGCTTATTCAAGTCCATTAAGGATTCCTAGTAAAGTAGTTCCTAAGATTCTTTATAAATTATAAACCTGACAAAAGTAAGGGTGTACAATCTAAAAAAAAAAAATTTTGATGAAAGAATCATATCAATGCTTACACCATTAGTTATCCTAAAAGTTTAACAGGGCACAAATTTTACAGTCCTAATTATAATGCAAAAATAGTTAAATACTAAGTTAATTGAGAATGATTAATTTAACAAGAGTGAAGAATCATAAAAAGTTTTGAGAAACTCATATGTAAAGTCTTACACCTAGTGTTTCTCCTTAAGTTATTATCCCTTTTATTATATCACAAACACATAATATGTCAAAGCAACAAATTAATATTTCAAACCCATAAAGAATATGATAAGAGAATAACAAGAAATGACATTAAGAATATTTGTATAAAAAAAAAACTTGTTATTGATGATTGTGTGATTTACTCACTTAAACAAAAGAATTTGACTTAAGTATTTACAAGGATTCAATGTCATTCAACCAAGCCATGAAGTGTAATAATTCAAAAAAAAATAAAATGGTTAATACCATGAAATGAGAGTTAAAATCAACATGACAACAAAGTATAAAATCTAGTTGAGTTTCCTAAAATGTTCAAAATAAGTCAGTTGTAAGTAGGTCTTTAAGACCAAACGTGACTCAAAAGGTAACACTAAAAAGCTTAAAGTTTACCTTGTTGGCAAAGGTTACATTAAAATAAATTACATTGCTTGTAGAGAAGCTTCCTTTTTAGTTTCATAGAAAGATCTCTTGAGGATTGTTTTGATCTTGGTGACTTATTATGACTTAGAATTTTGCCAAATGGATATAAATATTGTATTTATTGATGATGACTTGGTAGAAGAGGTTTATATAGACCAACTAAAAAAGCTTGATCATACGAAAATAAAGCTCAGTGTGTAAGTTAAAACTAAATATATAGACTAAAATAAACTTTTTGATAATAATATCTCAAGTTCAATAATGTAGCATAATGTCATATAATTTTGTAGAGAATGTTGTTAATCAATGTATCTACATGAAGTTCAATTGAAGGAAGTTTATTATTTTGGTCTTATATGTTAACATTATCCTTACTACTACTGTTGTTGGCTTGTTATATGTTATAAGGAAGTTTCTATTTATAAACTTTGAAATGAAAGATATGAGTGAGATATCTTATGTGAATGAAATAAAAATATTTCGTGATAGATTTTAAAGAGTGTTATAATTATTTAAAAAATGTTATATCAATAAAGTATTAAAAGGGTTTAGAATAGAAAAATGGTTATCAATAATATTTTCAATTCAGAAAAGAGACAAGTCTCGTGAAATGCAAGGTCCTAAGAATGATTTGGAACAAAAGGTAATGAGGTATATTCTATATGCATCAATGGTTAAGAATTTAATGTATGTTTAAACATACACGCAATCACATACAAGTTTTGTTGTTGAAATATTATGCCAATATCAAAGTAATCTTAGAATAAACAACTAAAAATATATTTAAAAAATCCTTAAATATTTGCAAGACACAAGAAATTACATTATGGAGTTTCCAAAAAATCATATATATTAAAAAATTAAATATTCTTAAAAAAAAAAGACTCAATAAAATCTCCTTTGACTATATTTTCCTATTAGTCGAAGAAGCAACTTCAAGAAAAAGTGGAAAAGATTTTATCAATGTTACTTCCATTATGGACACTAAATTTTATGGGATGGTTTGATGCCATTATTCATCATATGGCTATAAAACTTTGTCTTTGAACTTAGTACTATCAATAGTATATTTAGGCAGCCAAGGATTTATCTTGCTAATTTTGTATTTGTTTTCTTCTTTACGAATGACAAGTAATCAAATAATGCAAAACACATATTTAAAGTACTTGTTGGTCAAAAAAAGTACAAAAATAAAGGTTTTATTTAGCATATTGGTTCTAATTTGATGATAAAGGATTCGCTAAGTAAAAAGTTGTCACTTAAAATATTTTCTAACCATATTAGATGAATAGACATTATGGACAACTTATTAGTAAAATTATATGATATGTATGCCTGTGGTTATCATGCTTATATTATTGTAGCACTTGTAAATTTAATTAAAGTTATGTTTCAATTTTTTTTCTCTATATTATAATAATACATGTACTATTTTATTATGATAACAAGTTACATTTTTAAGAGACATTAAAAAGTTAAAAATTATAGTTAATTTTGATTAAAGATGTTAAGTTAATTATATGATATATGGAAAGAATCATGTTTTTAAATGACTTATGATAGTCATAATCAAACCATTTCAATTCAATTAAAAAGGACGAATTGAAAATTTATATATAAATGTGTACTTATGATTTATTATTGATTTTTCAAGTTGTCACGAGTCAAGTAAGAGAATATTAGATAATTTAATTTATTATTATTTATTTTAATTAAATAATTTATAATCACTCAAGTAACTTATTGAATAATTCTAATAAAATAATATTTCATATGATAATTATTAACATGTGAGTTTATTTTAAAATTTAAATCTTTTGTCTTTTCCTTTAAAAAATTGAAAAGTTAGTTGTCATAAATAAGGAGGACATGGAAACTAAAACACATGTACTTAATAATTTATTTGTCATTAAAGAAAGAGAAGAAAAAACTCGAAAACACAAAAAAAACTCACAAGTATAGATTAGGATAAGCTTTATATATGAGAATCATGAAATTCAAAATTTTTAAAACGTTTAATAATTTTCTAAATTATAAACTAAAACAAAATTACATCTCACATCATAAATAAAACTTTTAACTAAGGAGAAAAAGTAAATGACTCTAATGAGAGACATCATTTTAAAAATGCCATAGAAGTGACTTCTCATTTACAAAAACTATTTAAAATGTTTTGAAAAACAAAAAATTGTTGTTATTATCATATTTGTGCTTTTATATTTCAAAGCTAGAGCTCCACACGTATAAACACTAATTATAATTATTTTTAGGGTAAAGAGTATTAATTTTGCTATTAAAATGCAAAGCTTTCAACACAAAGGTAACAAAAAATAAATAAATAAAAAATAATGAGTATCGAGTTTACCATTAAAATAAAAAGTAATGAATGCAAACTAAAAAGTAACAAAGAAAAATCCAGAAAAACAAAAAAAAAATAATACTTAAAAAGCTTACTGCATAAAAAATTCACTACAGCAAAAATTTTAGTTCCCATCAATAGGCATGCATTGCTCATTCAATCTACCACAAGCTTCAATTTTATGGAACCCAATCGACTTCAGAAATTCTAAGATAACAAATATGGAGGGGGAGAAGTAAGTAAAGCTTTTACAATAGGATTGCAAAAGCCACAAAATTCCAATGGTTTTTTGTGTATCATTATGGGCATGGCTCCTTGTTCACAAAAACTAGTCTAGAACTTTATGTGAATTAAAAGCTCATGTCATTATAGTCCCATGTTACGGATATTTACATTCTTCCAAACCTATATGAGTAGCACTAAAAACACCTTAAATGATAATTAAAAAAAACTAGTTGGAGTGTGAGACACATCATTCAAAATACTGCATTATTTGTGTATGATTTTGAGCTTCATAGCTTAACTGGGGTTGCCAATGGTTTCTTCTTTTTGCTAACTACGTTAGTTTTTGTATAACATAACATGTTTTAGAATTTGTGTCATTTTTCCATAATATTTGTAACTTGTATGGAATATAGTGTAATCTAGAATTGGTTATCTGACAATCCCGTGATGGCTTTTGTAATCACAGTTGTTCTTATTCCGCAGACTTAATTATAAACTGATGTAAGATCATCCTTAACTTCGTCAATAAACAATGTAAAGCTATGGAGAAGAGTTGCAGAGCTAAACAACATTACATAAAGATTTCAAACTCACTATAAAATGTGGGTTGTGAAAATTTGATGAAAGGAAGTGCAATCATGAAAGTTGAAGTGTTAAGATGCCCTGATGAGTTCTACTCAGCAATAAAGAAAATAAAAAGGCAATTAGAAAAGATAAAATAGGATGAATTGAAGTTGAAAAAATTGGAAAAAGGGAAGAACCAATAGGCTCTATTATCATATAAACACAATACTTGTTTTTCTCAATCAAAATAAAAATAAAATGAATAGAGAAGAAGAAAGAATCATACAAATTGGGTATTGGGTCACTGGTTGTCATTTTGATGGTTTCAATGTAAGTAGTGGTGGCAATGTGGTGGCTTCCCTGGTGTTTGAGTAGACTCTGATTTGCATAATTGCTTTGTCAATGCATTCTCCAAAATTTCAACAAAAGCACACTCTTTGGTTGCAGACATTCTTCAAGAGAAATAGGAGAGCCCGATTATTTTTCAAAAAGATCCATTTACCAAATTTTAAAATTCTTAAAACCAGCAAATAAGAAATAAAAGAAAACTACAAATAAACATAAAAACTTACACTAGGCTGTAAATGATAGGCTTCCCAAAACTTATAAGATCAAATGTGTCCGTAGAAAGAGATACAAAACCAAACCAGTTATTGGCGCCACACTCATTTTTATCTTCCTCTATTATTCATATATTGGGCACACTGCACACTCTTTGATTCGGATATCACGATGTGGCTTTCCGCTTCCACCACTAACAAGGAATTCAAATGATAACTCGCAATTGAGCTTTGATTTTGGAAAAGAAGCAAATGGAAGAGTAGACCACAAGTGAACATGATCAGAATTTAATTCTCTAACACCTTCAAATTTATACCAATAAATTATATCCCCACAAGTACCAAGAGGTAAAGGCATGCCAATATCTTGAGAACTTACAACAGACAAACTATATTCATCTTCATTTGAGGAGAATGGAGAAAGTACTATGCAAAAAGCAAAAGCCTTTGCTTGCCAAGGTCGATCAGCTTCAATAGTTATGGAATCCCCTACTATCCTATTATCTTCGAACCATTCTGGAACTTTGCCACCTGGCAAACAAATAGAGAGTCCACGGTCTTTACTTTCCTTTATGGAGAAATAAGTGTCTTCCCAAATAGAGGACGCTACATGTGCATCCAAGTTCACACAATTTCTAAAATCATACCGAAATTCTCTCTTTCCTTTCCATACTGTTGAAGCTATTCTCTTCAGTGATGTGCAGTTATTAACATCTAAATTTCTAACTGATTGTGGAAGCTCTGGCAGAGATTGAAGCCTTTCACAATCACGTAATTGAATATTGTTCAGGTTTGTAAGTTGGTTGATGCATGCAGGTAAAAACTCAATGTTGCTTCCAGTTAGATGTAGCCCAATTATTGATAGTGGAAGTTCTGGCAGAGACACAAGCCTCTTGCAATCAATTAAGGAGAGATATTTCAGCTTCGTAAATTGCTTGAAGCTTGTAGGTACATGCTCAATATCACCTAAGGAAAGATTAGTCAATTCAAGTTTGTTAAGCCTTAAAGGCCAACACATAATCTTGGTTCCATTTAGATGTACCCACTTAATGGATATTGGAAGCTTTGGTATAGACTGAAGTCTCTTACAATCACGTAAGTTAAGTCCTTCCAAATTTTCAAGTTGCTTGATGCTTATAGGTAAGCACTCAACATTGCTTCCTGATAGAACTATCTCTCTCACTGACTGAGGAAGATCTGGTAGAGACACAAGCCTCTTGCATCTACTTAAGATAAGATGTTCCAGATTTGCAAGTTTCTTTATGCTAGTGGGCAAACATTCAATATTGCTCCCACATAAATTTAACACATATAGGGAAGACAATACACTAATGTTATCAGGTAGTTCAAATAAGTAACTACAATCCCTCAAATGTAGCGCTCTTAATGATTGCAATCCACAAAAAATTACTTCCAACTCTTGTTTGTGAATCATTAGCTTGCAAGCATCCAAAATTCTAAGTTCTTTAAGATTTCTCAAACAAGATAACTCCCTTGGAAGATTCTTAACTCTCAAGCCTTCAAGTATGAGGCATTCAAGTTTGCGGAAACGCCCAATAGATGAGGATAACATTTTAACCCTTGTTCCCTGGAGTTGCAATCTTCTCATTTCTTCTGATGACACAGAAAATTTCTTGAGGCTTGAGCAACCATCAAGTTTAAGAAATTTAAGAGATTGTAAATGACTCTCACTTTCGAGACTCTTCAATTTTTTGCACCCATATAGATTCAAAGAAACAAGCGAATGGAGAGATAAAATAGATGGATGAACATTACGCAAGCTTACACAACGAAAGAGATCTACTTCTTCAAGATTCAAGGACAGAGAGAGATCTGGGAGTTCCACCAAGCTTTTGGATCCACTAAGGATTATTCTCTTTAAATTACCCAAATTCTGTAATAGTTTAAAGAAGTCATATTTCATGTACTAGCATTATAACATGAAAAGAATAATTGTGAATACTTATGTTTATAAAATCTCTTAATAGTTAAATTAAAAAGTTATTAAATAAGTTTTATTATGTTACATGTATATGAGTATGAATATTAAAGAAATATGGCAGAATTTTAAAATATTAGGATATGAGTATAGTAATATCTATTAAGTAAAATATAAGTATATTTATGAATGTCATATTAAATATTTATGATAATTTAGAACAAATCTTAGTCAAATAACTTTTTTATAAAAATAAAAATTCTTAAAATATAAAAAGTATTCTAAAAATCTGAAAAATATTAAAAATATTTACACTAATAATTAAATGATACAATTATCATAAATAATTGTTCTTAAGCCAAAAGTATTTTGTAAACTTTTTTAAAAATAAGATTAAATTATTTACGTAAAATATCTTTAAAAGTTAAAAAAGAAATTGATTAGATAATCTTGAAATCATACCGTTCTTCAATCATCTCAAAATACTTTTGTGCAACAATCAAAATTTGCAAGTGCATTGCACAACGGATATAAATGCAAGTGTGTCGCAAGGGCATGGATAAAGATATGACACGTGTGATAATTTTTAGATCATTCCTATAAATGTAGGCTTTTTACATTGTTAAGAAATGCATGCACATTTTCATTTAATACTTAGTAATAAAAAGATAGAATATGATATTGCAAAACTTGACTTAAAATGCATAAATTAATCCATTACCTGGACTCCATCCCAAAGTTTCTCAAGGTGGCTACCTCGCATTGAAAGCTCAACAAGTTTCTCTGGACAAAACATTAATGACAAAGATTTTGAACGGAATCCATCCCATTGAACGTACTTCAATCCATCAGCAAACAATTCGACATCCATACTGGGAAGGTGCAAACTAGAATATCCATAAGACGAACAAAATTTCACAAATCGTAGTTTACTCATCTTTTTAAATGTATCAACATTCAACTGTAGATCTCTAATTTCAGACATATTTAAAAGTATCCCTTCAACTTTATCAGTCCCCTGTTAAATTAACAAACAAAAGTATAATAGTAGTAAGGAAGCAGTGCCATAGAAAGGTGTATTAATATTTTGTATTTTATACAAAACTACTGTTTCTTAGGAAAAATCAGTGCCCTTCTCTTACCCTTTTATTTTTCAGTACATCATAAACTTCCTTAGGATCCCACAATCGGCTACGTCCACCAGGTTCTTTGATAGATTCTTGACGAACAATTTCCCAACCCATTTCTTGTATCAAATCATGCATTTGTATTGCATCATGCTCTATAGTTATGAGAGCTTTATCTTGAAGGCTTCTTATTCCAATTTCTGCGTAGAAGTCATAGCTGTCTAATAGACTTATGACATGATCTTTACGCTGTCCCTTCAGAAAACAAGCAATGTCCAGAAATATTTCCCTCTCTTCATGATTTAGTCCATCATAACTTAACTTTAACAAGCTGTGAATTTCTTCATTGGGAATCCTTTGTAATTTTTCCAAAGCACATTCCCATTCTTTTTCACTTTTTGAACAAAGAAAAGAGCCTAAAACCTTTAAAACTAATGGAATCCCTTGGGCATAATCAACTACTCTATTTGATAACTCTCCATATCCCATTACGGGATGGTTTTGGTTGAAGGCATTCAAGCTAAAAAGCTGAAGGGATTCTTCCAATTTCAATGGCTTAACATTATGTATTTTATCAACGCCTTTGCATAGTAGCACATGCTTGTCTCTAGTTGTAATAATGATTCTACTATTTGACCCAAAACATTGAAGTTTACCTGCTAGATATTCCAATTGTTTTGAAGCACTTACATCATCAAGCACAATGAAAATTCTTTTACAATAGAGCCTCCTCCAAACTACATAGGATTCCAAGTTGTTTGTTTTCTCATGATCGTCTAAAAGCATGGAAATAAGCTCATCGCGTAGTGCTTTTTTATCATTTCTAAAATTTTCCCTTATATTTGCCAGAAAACATGATCCTTCGTACTGAGGAGAGTATTTGTCAAACAACCATTTGGCAATGGTTGTTTTACCCATGCCGCCCATGCCCCAAATTCCAATGATTTGAAATTCTTTTAATAAAGATTCAATAGGTGCAACATTTTCCTTGATCCCAAAAATACATTTTGATTCTCTTCTTGGGTATTTATGTTCTAACTTTTTCAAAACATCTTCAACAATCTTGCAAAGGAGTTTTGATTCGTCCCTAGCATACGCAAAGAAAAAACAAAAAGTAAAAGGGAAAAATTGTTAAAATAAATATAATAAACTGCTAAAATACGTATAGTTTATACTTGTCAGAAAGAGAAGGAAAGCTGTCAAATATTTTGTAGCTTCTATTTACATTTTAATTTTAAATGTTCTTAGAGTTTGATAGAGCAGTATGGAATATGAATAAGAATTTAAAACATTTCAAAATTAATAGACAAACCTTGCTTTTTTTTATATTAGAGAAAAAGCATGCATAGTTTCTTTTTAAGATTAGTTTAGATTTAAAATTAACAATAGCTAAAAATTTCTCCAAGTACAAATATAAGTTTATGAGAGGTTTTTTATGTCTTAGGGAATCCTTGTATCAAATAAGTTGTTGGGTCCAAAAATGTCATATTCATGGATATATGGAACTGTATTCCATACATGGATGACATTTGTGCCCTTTGGATGTTTAGTGAATTTGTCCTACAATTTGTTGTTCACGGCTTAATTCAAGTTCAATAATTTTTCCTCTTTTCTGTAAGAAATAATGTACGAAAACCAAAAGTTAATTAGAGAAACTAAAATTGATTAATACAGTTATAAAAATAATTTCAATTTAATATTATTTATCAATTATGTCAATAGAAAGCAATCACAATTTTAAAAAAAATGCAAAAGCTGTGAAAATTTCATTTCAAGAAACATGAACACATACTCGTATATGCGGGAGTCCCAACCAGCTATATTCGCTGCTTCGAACAGAGCTTGTTTCCACTTGGTCAACTTGACTTGGTTGTTGCTGAATTCACGCTCATGTTTTGCGAACGCTTCCTCAAAACTCCGTTTTTGCTTTCGCACATTCGATGGGTCAACTTTATAGAACACAGGTATCACATCCTGTCCCTTGTTCTTACATTCGAGTATTTTAAGGAGTTCATCCAAGCACCACTTTGAAGTAGCAAAATTTTTTGAGAAAACGATGATGGAAATGTGTGAATCTTCAATTGCTTTGAAAAGCGCTGCTGAGATCTCATCTCCTTTGTTGAGTCTATCATCCATATATGTTTGAATCTGCTTACGAATCAGAGCATCGCGTAGGTGACTCGTGAAGCCACTACGGGTGTCTTCACCTCTGAAGCTGATAAAAACATCATACCTTTTGGGATGAAACGATGCAGAAACGGCAGAAGACAAAGAAGAAGAGGTTGTCATGCGCTGAATACGATTCACCAACTACTTGTCAACCACAAGTAAACCCCAGCACTGGAGTGGTGAGTTATAGAGAGTAATATACAGAGTAAAAATAATTCTAAATTTTGTAATCTTTTGTACCTGTAAATTCTCTTAATTTTTATTCAATTAATATTTCATAGAATAATGAAACAAATATTAAACAGAGTTGCAAAATGGATAGAGAAAATTATGTCAAGGTGTGAGATAGAGAGAAAAATATACCAAATGAAATAAACGAGAAGATGAAAAAATAAAAAAAATTATTGCATGATATTTCACGGGAAGTCGACATTTTAACTTTTCATAAAGTTAATGGAAATTGAGAATAAACTTCACCGCATTGAATATGACAGATTGACACGCACTTGAATTGCCTTTTTTATATATATATAAATTGACAATTTATATTGTTAATATTTTATATTAATCAATTTTAGAATATTATCTTTAAAACCTTTTAAATTTTTACCCGTCAAGTTTTAAAAGGATATACTTATAATTCCTTACATTAAAAATATTGCTTTTAATACTTTTTTCAAATATACCATTAGGGAAGAGAGTCGGTTAGACAAGAAATTTCAATTTTACTAGTTGAACAGCCTATTTTATAAAACAACTTTGTTTAATAAAGTATTGAATTAAATAGTTACTAGTATCCTTTTTAAAAGCTACTTAAACTAACATTTTTATTTTCAGCTACTGGCTAAAAGTGATTTATCTTTTTTGTGCTATTATTTTTATGTAATTATTTTTTATCCATTTAATTTCTTAAACTACTCTTCTTTTCCTTTTGTTGCATTCAAAATGAAAAAAAAATGTCACAAATAATAAAAAATTAATAAATGTCATAATATTCATCATTTTATAAAATAATAAACTGATAATATCTTCAGAAGGATTTAATAAAGTCATTAAATTTTATTTTTATGATGAATTATTTATAAATGAGAATGAAATAAAAATTTATTATTATATTTTTATAGTGATAACTGATTTTTAAAATATATAAATTATAATTTTTTCAAAAAAAATATATATGCTTCCTAAATTTAAAATTTTGTTATACTTATTTATGATGTCTTTATTTATTATTTTATAGTTACCAGCTAGTTTAAATATTATTTTTTTCAAATATTTTAAATTAAATAAGCTAATTTTTCAACTTTCAATTTTTTATTTTTTATTCTTTGCTTTGAGCTTGCTTATCTGCTAGTTTAGTAAACACATCTTATATTATTTTTTAAAGTGTAATTTTAGTACATTTTAATATAATTTTTATACTGTTAATTTATATATTTTTTATATTAATTATTATAAAAATTAATAATTTTATTGATACAATAATTGATTATTAAATGTCATTGTAAAATTGGTACTTAAAATTACTGAACATCACTGAAAGAAGTTAATTTGTTTTTATCTAAACAACTAATGAGGAGAGAAGGTGCGGGGAAATTTAAGCTACAAAGATGCTGAGGAAGGTTTAAAGTTAACGTTAATAATTCATCGTATCCGTTTTCTTCTTTTACTTTAGGTCTTTCTTCTCCTTCAACATTTGCACCGGAGATATATACATTCACATGGAAACATCGATTCTATTGCATTATAAAATGGAAGACCTTTACATAAATAGCAAATATAAAACACTTAACAATTACAACTGTTGTTTTACAATAAAAAGTTAATTCATATTTTTATAAAAGTAAATAATTTTTTAAATCAATATATATATACAAGTTTTAATGTTATTTATTTATTTAAAATTAATTTTACTTAACTGTAGACTAAACAAATACTGTACCTCCACTGTAACTTGGATAAAAGCATCTTTATTAACTGTATTAGAGGAATAAATCTTTAATTTATCTTTATTTTTTAAAATTTTCAAAAAAAATTATTGATTGAGACTATTATTTTAGTTTTCTGTTATAAGCTTTAAGATAAATTTTTCTTTGTCTTACACATACATAGGTGGAGATTAAACCCTTTTAGTTAAATTTAGTCAATTAAATAAAAATCATTTAAGTTATAATTAAGAAAATTATTCTTAATTTTATTATATTGATTTTGTAATTTTTGTAACATGATTGAACAATTGTATAATATAGAATTAGAGGCAAATATAATATTTTAGAATTTTAATTATTTATTTTCTTTTTTAGTTTATTAAGTTAAACTGCTTAGTTAATATTTATAAATTTTATAGTAACTTATTTTGATCAAGAAATGAATGATACAATTTTACATGGTATTCGTGTGCACTTTGATCTAGACATAGGATCATTGACCAAAAAACTAACGCAGAAGAGAGACAAATCCATTTATCAAACTTAATTGAATTAACTATTCTACTAATTATTGGTTACATATCAAATGGCCTAAATTATACTTAATGGACTAGATAAAGCCCCTTCCAAGCATTTGTAAGGCATTTTCAGAAGTGAGAAAGGAAGAGAACAACATGAACAACATGAAGGCTTAACCTTTTTTGCCAAAGCATACAAGTCAAATCATCCAAGGAAGTCGTGTGATCATTATAAGAAACCTACACATACTCGAAATACTTGCTAGTTCATTCATGGTAAACTAATGAAGATGAAAGGTTATAATGATAAGAAAAATTAAGTTAATGTAGCTTGTACTGAAGGACAAAGAGGAAAATTAGGTGTTGCAGTTGAACTATAAACATTTACTAAAAAACAAATGCAAGCATTGCAAAATTTACAACAAACTTTTTTTTCTACAAATACAACTTCCTTTGTAACGTATATATTGGCATATAAAGGTTTATTAGGTGCATTTTCTATTAGAAATGATCAATACAAACTTGTGGATTACAAACTCTAGAACTTCTAACCACATGACTTAAGACATCACACTCTTTAAATAGTATATCCTATTGAAGATAACTACTTAGTAAGAAATGCTAATGGATCAACATCTAAGGTGGTCAGTAAAGGTTCATTGTAATATCAAATGACATTGCACATAATTATATCCTTTATGTTCCAAAATTAGATTGCAACCTTTCATTTATAAGTAAATTTACCCAATCTCTCAATTATGTTACTATATTCTTTCCAAATTTATGTGAATTTCAGACAATGGATTCAAGGAGAAGAATTAGCAATATTGAGGAATTTGCAAGTCTCTACTTCGTTTAAGTTGATAACAAAAAAAACCAAGAAAATATTATGCTGCTGGTAGTGAAAAAGATAAAAATTATGCAATGTTGTGGCACTATCACCTAGAACATCCTAATTTTGTGTATTTGAGACATATGTTATCTTTAATATTTAATAAAAATTTAAAAATATTTTAGTATGAAATTTGCTAATTAGCTAAGCATGCAAGGAATAGTTATCTTATCTTCACAGACATGGCATCATTCACTAAACATCGTGTGTCGATGTGCTATAGCAAAATAGAATTATATAACACAAAAATAAACACCTACTAGAGGTTACTAAATCTCATATAAGGTTATAGATGTACCAAATTAGTTATAAGAAAAAGTTGCCTTTCTTCAATATATCTAATCAACCATATGCCTTCTAAAGCCCTTAACTACCAGACATTGCATCTTTTTAGCAATATATTACCCATAATATTTAGGTGTACAACCTTTGTCCATAGTCACCAATCTAACTAAAGCAAATTTAATCTTACATCAACTAAGTGTATATTTATGAGTTATTTTCCAAACTAAAAATGGTACATGTGTTATTTACTCACTACCAAAAAGTTTTACACTAGTATAGATTAGGGCTAGGAATGGGTTAGGCTAGACCTAAGGTTAAATGAGTCTGACCTACTACACAAAACTAAAGTCTTAGCCGAAACTTATGACTTGACATTAGCCAAATTTTTAGGTTTAACTTGACCTTTTTAAAAGCCTAACTTGGCCCAATAGCTTATATAGTAGTCTATTTAACATTAAGGTCTTCAAATAATACTAACAATTAAATTTAACAAGTCAATAAGCATGTTTAACATGAATAATATGTTATACATAACATATATTTGTGTGTGTATTAGATTTTTTTTTAAACAATTATGTTAATATTAAATTGGTCATGCTCAATGTGAACACTCAATTTTGTCCAATTCTAATAAATTCAAAAAAGAAAAACAAACAAACAAACAAAGTAAAATTAAAAAAAAAGCATGAGAGGAAAAATGAAAAAAAAATCAAAACTAAGATTGCAATAAATAAATAAATAATACAATAAATTTTATAAAATGACTTAAGCAAATTTTCCTTGACTTAAGTGAATTTGTTTTAACTTAAGCGGATTTTTTTTGCCTTAAATGAATTATACCAAGAAAACTATATACTACTACACCAAATAATCTTAAGCGGATTTTTTGGCTTAAGTAAATTTTGTCTAGAGAAGAAAGTTCACACACTACACCAAATTATTATGCAAAAATTAGCCATTAGTCTAGAATGATAACTATCAAGTAACATTTAAAAAGATCAAGCAACATCTATAAAATCTACTAATTTTGATACCTCTTATCCCAAGAAGACCCTAATCATATATTTTATTATCCTAAACCAATCCATAGGTTGTGCTTTCTGACAATATGATGATTCAAGGAGAAAATAGCACCCACTCTACTACTTGAATAAAAAATCTACCAATTAAGAAGCTAATTATGCAATGCTTAAATAGACTTGTTATGTCTTAGAATGAGTTACCTATTGGCTAAGACACTATATAGTAAACCACACTACTTGGTTGGTATTTAAGATGGATATGATCAAGTATATTTTTAAAAAACTTGCTCTCACTAGGTGAATTGCTTGTTAAAAAACATGGTTGTTAGAATATGACATTCTACATCTTACCCAAAAGACAATAAAAGGAAGTATATTAGCAAAATATCTAGTCCACCAACTTGGTGTGTCTAATGTGATAGGACATAGGATTGAAGCTATAGTGATCTCACCCAAGAGGCAGTATATCCTTATG